TTCAATTCTTACTTACACATAGCTCACTAGACACCACTGCAATCTACGCCCTCATACCCTGCGCTTTTTTTGAGGAACGAATCGGCAGGGTAGTCTCGCCAGGGTCTTGCTCGTCACTCGGAACAAACTTCGCGTCATTTTTTGTGCGAGTGAACGAGCGAGACCCTAGCATGCAAGCTGAGACTCTATAATGCCGATTTTCACCATTTTCAGAAACGAGCGGGGTTTTTTCAAGGTGGGCGACGTTTCTCAGTGTGCGGGGCTTCACGTAGCAGTCCTAAAAGGCAAAAATTTTGGAAAGAATACCACAATTCCGCGATAAATCACAAATGTGGGCGTGGCTAAAGCGGTGTAGAGTCTAATGTGCTAGTATGAATGCAAATGCGCATCTACGACTATAGTGTAGTTCGCTGCGGACGGTTGGGCGTGTCCGTGCGGCTGCGTTTGGCGCGGTGCCAAACTCGTTCTACACCAGTTGTTGAAGCGGGCAAGTGACAATACTGTATCATATCCTTCGTATTACTAGTCTTCTACCACTTTTTGTCGCAGACGCTCTTCAACAAGAAGGCAGAGAACGGCTTTGATAGGGTGACACACTCATACTGGCTGACACGCCCAACCGTCCGCAGAGAACTATAGTGTACCTTCGTTGTATGAAGAGAGGAAGTGAAAACAACCAGTTTGTGAAAAATCAAATTTTGCAACAAATCCTTTTAAACTGGGCGGAGTTGCCTATGTGCCGATGTAAAGTCTTTTCCAAGTAGTATCTATTTGCGTAATAATGAAAGCGCAAAAAAAGTCCCAAAAGCAGAAGTTACGAAATGAAATTTGAAAAATCATGCCACGCTAAAATGTGGGCGTGGCTGTAGGGCGGGGCTTACAGTAGTGAAGTGAGGCCTTGGTAAGTAATTTTTGAATTTGGTTTGAGAAGTGAACTGGAAGTAGAACTGGCATATGTAGGAGAATAGGATGTGTTTTCTCTTGCAACAAGTGAACAGTCGCTATGACATTAAGTTTATTTAAGTGTTCGAGTTTATGTTTACCAAACGAATGGAACCAATTTTGCCTTTTAAAATAATAGGTTTTGAAAGAATGAATACACGAGTATATGAAGAAAGGGATGTGAAGAAGCACCGTTGCTGGCATGCTTCGTCCTCTTAGCCTTGACATTGTTCAGTCGTCTTTGTCTTGACTGTCCGCTTGCTTACTCGCCGGGACTTTCTCGTTTGACATTTTGCTTTTGGGGGGATTCTGCACAGACGACGTGTTTCCTGTCTTACGCCTCTTCTTCCCTGATCCTTCCTTATCCTTCAATTTGTTGTCCTTGTTCGTCTTCTTTTCGGTAAATCCATGATCATACGCATCAAGAAGTGGACTGAAAAGAAGTAGAAGCCGTAATAGGGAGACCAATAGGAATGGAAGATTAGAGATGTTAGATTAGGCTTACTTGGAAAAGCCAAATAGTGATTGTTCTCCTGGGTTAGTTTGACCTGATTGGTCTGGCATTCTTAATATTTCTTCATATAGTGCTTCATAATTAATGGTTTGTCTGAACGTACTTTATATAAATTTGCCAACCTCCTGTCAGTGATCATCATCTCTAGTGTGTAAATTTTGCCGCATCTATAGTTCGCTAATTTATCTGATTACTTTTTTGTCTGCACAGAAATGCCGTTCCACCTAGGCGGCGTCTTGGGAAGGTTGGGAGGGGCAGGGCATGGAGAAAGATGTACAAAAACACTCGAAACTCATGGTAAGGTCTTCCCACACGGGGTGGGGACCAGCAGAGCTCATGTCGCATGACCGTGGCCACAACGAAGTTCATAATTTGGCTGTGATGCAGCCCAAAGATGGAGAAAAGGGTACTGGGGTTGCAAGGGGTAGACGGACAGAATGGGGAAGACGCTCCCTCGAAAAAGGACGGGGGGGGGGGAATACTCAGGGTGAGCGGTGAGAAAGTTTCTAGAACACGAACCAGAACAACTGTACCCTTACAAACTTTAAATAAATAAAATAAATAAATAAATATGAATATTCACACAAGCGGTTGTTGCTTAAGCCATTCGAAGAGTTTGGAGTAGTGGTTCAGGAGCACGCTCCCTTTTTCGTCCTGAACGCGTGCCCAACCTTCCTACTTGCTTCTTACTGTTAATTATTGCCTAAAACGATGTGATTAATAAACTGGGGATGCGTTTTGATAAGTCGACTCCATGTGCAGTACTGGATAAAACCCCACCTGCTTCTCGGTCTCCTTATGCCAAGGTATTTGACCTAAGGCAAACTCTGTCATTATATAAATACATGAAATGATGTCGTCGATTGCTGTTGCCTCTTTTCCCGTAAGAGTTTCAGTACTCCTGGAAAAACGAGAGAACTTTATGCGTATAAATGCGTCAGAAAAACTGGATATTCACCCATATTTCCAGTTTCCCAGATATGTTAAGGTTGCACGTGTACGGGATATGTTCGACCGATATTTCCTGCAGCACCAAAGCTCAGTGACGGCAACGAGATCGCATAATTCGCTCTCTTTTCTGGAAGAAGAGATTGAAGAGAGATTCGATCGCCAAGAATTTCCCTTAGCCAATTTACTATTGGTGCTAGGTTGTAAGCTGCCTATACTCGCCCTAAAGTCGACTGTTTCTTTCTTTCCTAACAGCCTCTGAGCTCATGAAACACTGAAGGCTTTTTTCGGACGCTGGACCTGTCGGAAGGCTGGGCTTGGCGTGACGTCAGCCTATTTTCTCATGTTTTTTGTCGCTTGCGCACCTCAGCAACTGGCGGAGATTAGGTGGACTTCCTCTGGTGGTCCTCAGCGTTTGCAGCCCTGCCCTTCAAGAACCGTCGACGCGCTGTTGACCACAAATCAAAAATTACTATAAAAAAAGTAGTTGGAGGAGAATGTGGCCTCACGAGATGGTGTTATAGTAAACGTGATTGAGATATACACTCCATATCTCAGAGATGTAAAGGGCGTAGGTGCAGACTTCATTTCCACGTGGTGCCAACTGCGCGCTTACAGCTTCACGGACGTTGTAAAGGGGGACGGGTCGTACTTGCCCATTGTTGGGAGGAGGGTCGTATTTACGTTTTGGCGTTGTAGGAGGTGGTTGACTTTTGGTGATTTTCCTGTTTCATGCGTACTATATGCCCCCCCCCGCTCGACAGCAAAATTTTTGGGGAAAAGTAGGGAACTTTTCGGGAAATTTTGGAAAAAAGTGGCAGGAAGTTGGGGAAAATCTGAAAATTGGTAGAGGGGGTCGTATTGTCTCGCAACTTTTCCTGTTTCACATG